CCAGCATCCAACAAGGCATGTCAAGAACCTGCTGAGGTGAAGGTGGTTTGATTTTCTCCAGAAAAGTCTTCAGAAAGTAGTTCAAATAGCCTGTCCGCATCCCACTCACCATCTAAGGTAACATCATATACATTATGTACAGTTTCATCAATGCCAAAGTCCTAAGGAACTAAAAAATATAGTGCCCCAAGACCTGTCCAGTTTTCAATCCAAAATAGTGAGAATCCCCTTTTTGTTTGCCAAAAGATTTGATGTTCAATCAGATCTCTGCATTCCAACATTTTTATCCAAATGTGAGACCCCTTTTTCCATGGAACAATTACAGAATTCAATTTCTTACAGTATTTTTGACATACGAAAGAGCTCCATAGGCTTGGTTTTGTTCTGAAATTCCACCACAACTTGCTAAATAATGCTTTTGCTACATCATGCAGTGACCTGAAACCTATTCCTCCTTCCTCAACTGGCATGCATAATTTATTCCATGAAGTCCAATGCCTACTAGTTCCTCCTACAGAGCTGCTCCAGAAAAACTAAGCAAACAATTTGTGCAACCTATTTATCACATAATTTGGAGGGTTTACAGCTGATAATAAATGCATAGGCATGCTTTGCAGTACATGGGATATGAGAACTGCCCTGCCCCTACTAATAATAACTTACCCTGCCATGATTGCAGTTTGTCCATTACCTTAGTAATTAGGGGCTGATAGTATTCCAGCTTTCTCCTTGCATAAAATATAAGACAACCTAGATATATGATAGGAAAATCATTCCTATGAATGCTTGTGATCCTTTCCACCTTGCTGACCACTTCCATGTCTGTTAAATGATGCAGGTACATAGCTGATTTGGTCTTGTTAACAAGCTGCCCAAATGCAACTTCATATGCATTCAACACTTGCATAATCAGCATCAGAGATGTTTCGTCTGAGGATGAGAAAATAATCATGTCATCTGCATACGCCAAATGATTGATCTTTGGACTCCACTTTGGCATCCCAAATCCACAAAAGTACAGGTTAGTATGTAGTGCATTGAGACCCCTAGATAATGCTTCTGCTGCCAAGATAAACAAAGTTGGAGATACAGGATCACCTTGTTTTACTCCCCTTGAGGACTTAAAGAACCCATGAGCTTGACCATTGATTAGAATAGAATACCAATTGTTTGAAACTAATCCAAAGACAATCCCTATCAACCTTTCTGTGAATCCCATCTTTCTCAGTACCTTGGTTAGGAATAGCCAAGATAATCTATCATAGGCTTTGGTCATATCTAGCTTCAGGATGACATTACGTCCAGCCTTAGTTCTAAGCCTAATGTCAGTCACTATCTCCTGAGTTAGAAGGATGTTTTCTACTATATTCCTGCCCTTAACAAAACCTGCCTGTTCCCCCGATATCAGACTTGGGAGAAATTTCACTAGCCTTTCTTGTACCACCCTCGATATAACCTTATTTGAAAAATTACTGAGGCTTATTGGTCTTAAATCAGAAAAAGTGGTAACTTCTTTTTTCTTTGGTAGCAGAACTAGGTTGGTGTGTGTTACACACTTTGGTAGCTCATGGCCATTGAAAAAGTCCTCACCATGTCGTACAGGTCATCCCCTATTATGTCCCAACAAGAATGATAGAATTTGCCTGTCATACCATCTGGTCCCCCAACACTATCACCATTAAGTCCAAGTACTGCCACTTTAACCTCCTCTTTTGTTGGCTGCTTAATCAACTCTGCATTATGCTCAATGTTAATCAGATTAGGAACATGCTCTATGATATCAAGTGATGAAGGAGTAGCTGCTTCTGTGAACTGTTCCTCGTAGAATTTGATAGCCTCTTCTGCAATTTCTTGTTCTTCTTCAATCCAGGTTCCTCCACTATTTTGAATTCTATTAAGCTGAAATCTCTTCCTCCTACCTCTCACTTGTGCGTGGAAGAACTTAGTGTTCCTATCCCCTTCCTTGAACCAAGTCATGCCTGCCTTTTGTTGCCAATATTTCTCCTCTAGTGCAAGACATTTGATCAATTCTGCCTGAACCTTTTGTAGCCTTTCCATGTTCATCCCTGTAGGATTTGCTTCAAATTCTGCTTCATGAACCATCACCACCTCCTCCATGCTTGCTATCTTTTGGAAAATATCTCCAAATGTAGCCTTACTCCACAATGAAAGGGCCTTCTTTAATTTTTTTAACTTGTGATTAAAAAGAATATAAGGATTTGCACTGAAATCAGCTGTCCAATTCTCTTTCACCACATCTTTAAAAGTCGCATGTTCCACCCAAAAATTCAAGAACTTAAAAGGTTTTTTTATTTGTGGAGTCTCAATATCACACTTCAGATACATTGGACTATGATCAGAACCAGTCTTTGACAAATGTTGCACCTCTATTCCTGGAAATGTTTGTTGGAACTCAACATTGGCCAAGCATCTGTCTAGCCTTTTGAATATACAGTCTTCCTCTACTCTCCCATTCCACCATGTAAATATGCTGCCTTTAAATCCAAGGTCGAAGAGATTGCAAGTGTTGACGCAGTGTCGAAAGTCATAAATTTCATTCAATGACACATATAACCCATAAAACTTCTCTTCTTCATCCCATATTACATTGAAATCACCTCCTACAAGCCATGGTGCATCCATATCCCTTGCCATTGCATATAATGAATCCCATAATTCTATCCTCTCAATTGCATCACATTTAGCATATATCAATGTTAGGACAAACTCCATATGCGATTCAGTATAGAACAATAATAGTGTTAATTGTTGCACCATATTGTACATAACAGTTACCTCAAATACCTCATCTATGAAAGCCCAGATCTTGTTGGAAACATTTGAAATTGCCTGTGCAAGTCCTATCTTGTTTCTATACCTTTCCAGTTTTTTTTGCTTGTTGCTTTGGCTCCATTAATCCTACAAATTCATAGTGATTTTGCCTGTGCATTTTTGTCAACCTTTCAAAGGCCTGCTGTGTGTTGACTGACCTTATATTCCAAATAAGAGCATTCATCACTGATTGTTGGATTTAGTTAGCGTTCTCCTTGTGTGCACCCCAGCTTTTGGGGCTGCAAAATTATCTTTTTTTTTGCTTCTTCTTACCTTTTGCTGCTGATTTTGCCTTTTCCACTTGCGTAGGTGATAAGTCACCTTGCCTTGCAGCATTCATAAGGTGTTGGGTAGTTGATTCTTGATCCATGTCATATCCTGATCTACCAGGTTCTTCTATTTCTTCATTGTCTTCCTTCCCTCCTGATGTAGCTCCAAGTGCATTCTTTTTAGGGACCAAGGCCTTCTCTTCTCCTCTTTTTAAAAGCTGCAACTGATTTTTCTCCAATGTAACAGTAACATTTTACTATTTCTGTTTTTTGCTTTGGCTGTTTCTCCTTCTCTGTTGTGTTGTGTCATTGTGGGTCTTCTTCTGCTTTCTGAAGTTTATCATCTTCTGTTCCTCCAGGATCATTTACCTTTGGGCCTCTTCCTTCATAGTTTTTAATTTCTGTGACTTCTGCTATCTGATAATTATTGTTGTGCTCAACATTTTCTGATCCTCCCTTTATTAAAAAATTACCAGTTGTATTGTTGTCATTGGCATGGGGCTCTCCATTTACAATTTGCTCATCTTCTTCTTTGTCCTTCTCATTTGGTTCCTCATCAGCTTGTGATCCTAGTGGTACTTCGTTCTCCTCTGAATCGTATTCTCTTTGTGCATCCCATAGCCTGCCTCCACAGCCTTGCACTCTTTCTTTAAATGTAGATGATTTTGACCCTTCTGCTTGAGAATTTGGAGTTTTATTAAGTTCCTTGTTCACTAATGTATCTTGTGATGGGATTTCCTGGCATGATGTATTGATCTTCACTATTCCATCTCCTGTTTTATCCTTGAAACTTCTTTCTACCCATTGTGCAATATCTTTTTTTGCTTTTGATGCCTCCTTTCCATTGACTAGACCATTAGTCGAACCAATCCCCGATGAGTTAAGCTGAAAAGCTTGTGCTGCTGGATTTAGATTTTCCTCATTATTGACCATATGTTTTGGTTTTTGCTTTGTAGATGCTTGGTTATGAACTGTTGGACTGTTTGTTGCTGCATTAGCTGCCACCATTGCCAATTGATTAACAGGTTCTTCCTCTTCATCCACCCCTTGTAATATTGCAAACTTGTTAGCTACTTGAACATGATCATTATCTTCATTGTCTATTGCCACCAATTCCTTACCACTGTTGCTTTGTGCTCCTACTTGTCTATCTACAGTACTTGTACCCTCCTTGTTCTGATTGTTTTCAAGCTGCTTAGCTGGTGCCATCTCCATTCCATTATTATTGAGACTAGTATTTTGATTTACTACATTTCTAACTCTGTTGTCCTTCACTTCCTTCCATTGCTCTTTTGCTGTAACATTCACATTACCCACGACCTTTCCACTAGA